ACATTCCAGGCTGCCTTGGTTCAAATTCCTTTGTCATGTATATAAAACTGCAACATAGATTTGGGGTTGAAGACATCATTGGGAGGCTCCTTCTCAATTACCATGTAATTATATGTTATTTGTCATATTCTTCGTACTTCCAATGAACTTTTGTAGGAAATATAATTGTAGCTATTAGATTCTAGATTCTGGCTATTAGGTGATTCAGACTGGTTCTTTCTCTTTTGTAATTCTGTTGGAGTATGACATAAAAGAGGAATGGTATTTCCCACCACAGCCCCAGCTGGTAATTCCAATTGTCTCATGATTTCACAGCTGCAATTCAGCCCCCAGCAGCTCACACTTGTCCCTGGCCAATGATGCTTTCCTTAATTAGCATATGACTTAAACTTCAAGCCTGGCATAGCTGTTGCTTGGCCCCTGGACTACCTAAGTACAGCCTGGTCTAATCTGGAAAGAAAATCTTCTTGAAGATAGATTCTACTTGCCCTGACATTGAACAAAGGGAAGAGCAGTTTATCTGGTGGCTGAATTCACTTTCTTTATCAAATAAATTTATTTTCTCTGACAACTGCTCATACAGTCTAGTCTTGTGTCTGGGCTTTCCACTTGTGGTGTTATTTTTATGTTTATGGTTCTGATACCTTGTCCAACTTGAAAATAACCTCTAGAAATAGCCACTAGGATATACACCTGCAGAAGCTTGTGAGACTACCTGCAGCGTGTGGCTTGAGAAGCCTGAAAAGCCTTCCTCTTCAAGGGAGTCAGTACGTTAAACCTAGTTCTGACATTGCCTTTTTTTTCCCCCTGTTTGTATTGCCAAAGCCCCTGTCACTTCTCTAGGTGGCTAAGCCACACAGATGATAGCTTTTCTCAAGAAATCTATGTCCAAATCCATGCATATAAGAAAGGATGCATGTTTGAATAAACTTGTGATTCCTGGCATTCTCATTGGCCACCACTTAGTTTTAAATAACTTCTATTGAAGAGGCACTCCTTAGAAGGTTCTCTATGAAGTTGGGATACAGAATAACACATACAAATGGAGACACGAGGAAGGTAAACATTTTTTTTCCCCCAAACATACACTAAGCAACTACTATGTAATGATCTGCTTCTATGGGTTAGGAGATCATGTAGGTACTGACATTGATTTTTGAAACAGGTACCCTTTGTTGTGAAGTGCTGAAAACAGTGTATGCTACAAAAGCCTTTTGTGGAAGACATGGGATGATGAGAGCTGAATAGTTAAGAGGGAGGGACTTCAGGTCTTTTATTATGAGCTCAGGTGGCCTATGCATAGTGTTTGATAGGAAAAAGAAGGACATTAATCAGGATAAGATGAAAGATTCACTTTGAACAGTTGAGGACGGGATTTGAAATTGTAAACAATGGGCACTAGATAGCTATTACAGATGTCTAAATGGAGAAATGCCAAGATGAAATGGGTGTCTTAATAACTATGTTGATAGTAGGTTTGAGGTAGGAAAACTAGAGGAAGAAGGACTGGTTAGAAAACAGCAGAAATTCAACTTTACCTAGGATAGAAACTAGGGATGAATGTGAAAGACAAGAAGAAAGAATAGATTAAAAAAAAATTCCTGGACATAGAAAAGTATTAAGGTGGAAGGGCAAAGAAGATTGTGGTTTTTCCAGCCTGAATGACTCAGCCTGAGGTGGGAGAGGGTGACATCATGTCCGAGAGATGACTTAGTAAAGGGGAAAGTTCCAAATTTCAATTACAGAATCTTGGGATTTTAAATAAAATGGAAAGGAACTTAGACACCATATACTCTGTCCCCTTTATTTATAGGAGGGTGAGTGAAGGAAAGGAAGGGTATGTGACTCAATCAGGGCAGTTGAATAGAGAATTGGGCAAAACAACAGCAGAACCACAGTCTTCTCCCACCAGTCACTTGCCTGCTTCCACAGCTTTACCATCTAGCTCTCTGGACAATAGCTCTCAAACTATGGACAAAGGACCAGGGCCTGTCTGAAGACATATCAGACCCTAAATAAATAAATAATAAAATAAAATGCTCCCCCAAGACTGATTTTTTTTTTTAAAAATCTAAATTTATTCAAAGAACTAACTTTTACTTTGTGATTAATCTAAGTTGCTAACTCAACTTGTTACTGACCTTGGGTTCATGGATCCAGAGTTATAGAAAGGAACAGTGAAATGAGAAAGAATTTAAACACGGGTAAGGCTTTATTAAAGACTTCTGTTTGAGCCAGAAGGGGAGACAGCACTTTGGGGAAAGTGACCCCCAGGCTAGCTCTAGCAAAGCAAAGAGTGGGGGGCTTATGCCAGAGGTAGAAGGCAGACAGCACACGGGAACAGAGATCCCAGATAGACTAAAGCAAAGTACAGAAGGGAATAGCTTTCATGGCATCTAGGGGGAAGGCAGGAATGTGGTCTCTTGGTGTCTCCACATGTAGAGATGGGACTTCAGTCTTTTCCTTCCTCTTCCTTATCATGATTCTTGTCTCATTATCATCTCAAGCCTCCACCTACAGGTGTGTGTTTTACTATGCTAATAAGGCAAAGGTAACTGTGGGTTACTTTAGTGACTATTAAAGCCCTCACCCCCTGGAGTTGCCCTTATCATCTGGGAAATTCTCTAATATTACTTTCAGAGTTGGCATCACTGTGACCACATAATCGCAGAAGGCAGAAGTGATTTTCCCAGCCTCCCATCACCTGGATGTTATCTTATTCCCACAGCCTTGAAGAGTAGTTCACTTTTTAACTACAAATTTTCTAGTGTGGCTGTTAATCTCATGTGACTGAGAGCCAGCTTGGCTGTCTTATTTTTCTGAAACTATTCATTGCTTAGTTGTAAGGGGGTCTGTTTTATAGGGATCCTTGATGGTGTCTTTTTTGTTATTACTGGTTTTTAATTTTCAGGCCTTTTAAATCCAAAAGTCTGAGAGTCAGTCATTTTTCTGCAGGATTGCAAATTATGTGTGAACTGTCTTTTCCAAGGAACATCAGTTTGGGGTAAAAAAAAATGTAGCCACAAAAAAATGACAAAGCAGTGTTCTCCCTTCCCTGCCCCCACTCATACTGCCAAGTTACAACTACGATTTCTTTATTGTAGTTCTCTTGAGGTAGGAGCGGACAGGAGTCCACAGGATGGATGTTGGTTGAGGGACTCCCATCAGACAGCACTCTGAATCACTGTCTCTTCTGGCCCTTGGTCTTAGACTGAGGTTTGGACCTCTATTCTTTGATACAGACATGTGGTATTTCATTAATCTTCAGTCATTTGTAACGTATCTTTCACAAGTGGTATTGTCACAAGAGAAGAGATGACTACAAAGAATTGTTTAAGGAGTTCTCAGAGACTGGGGGGTGGAGGAGGGAGGGCACGACGACAACGAAATTTGACTCAGGATCAGTGGGGTTCTTGGCATACTTGATGGAAAATAATTTGAGCACAAGCCAAAGGCATAGACCAAGATTTCTTTATTAAAGGAGATACATAGTCAAGGAGAATGGGGGCAATCTCAGGAGAGAGAGATGTCTTTAGGATAGAGCAAGGCAATATGCATTCAAAGGAGCATGCTGGCTAGCTACAGAGGGAGAGACAGCTACTGGTTGGTGTGGGGTGTTAATATTTAGTTGCTAGGGGCTAATCTAAAGGTGGAGCCAGGGTGGAGCTACCCAATTTCAACCCCAGTTTTCGTTGAGCTTGTGCATTGCCCTGAGTTACTTTTGCAGACTAGGGTTCCTTCCTGGGAGTTGCAACTTTCTTACATTTCAATGGTTCCTGGGGCTTTCCTGCATTTCGGGCACTTCCTTTGAGATTCTGTATCTCTCCTTTTATTCCCTATTCCTATCTCATTTAAAAGCTCTCTCCCCAGTTAAATTAGTTGGCAGGAGAAAGTCTCACTCCCTCACGGACGCAGACATTTGTGTATTCCCCATTAGGGCTCCAGAATGACTCTGCTGCCTGAATCCAGCCAGAACCCTGCAGGGGAAAACGAGTCACAGCACAAAAGTGACACTAAATCCCAAGGCTTGGACACGTTAGGTAAGCCAGCGAGAAGGGCCCTGGCGAGTGCCGACCCATTTCCTGCGTATCTGAGCTGATGGGAAGAGCACCACGCTGTGCTCCTGGGGAGCTGAGCTGCAATTCCTACGTCTAGCGAGGAGAACGAGTCACTGTACGTGGGCCTGTTTTCTCAACAGTGAAATAGGGGTCTAGGAGTCCTTCCAAGAACGTAAGATTCTAAAATTGAACAGGACTTGGTAGTACTACCCGGAGCTACACAGGCGCGCCGGGAACCCACGGGCTAGACGCTCCAGGGCAGCGCTTCTCCAAGCTGACTCTCCCACTCTGCGCCACGTCGCCGCGGCGGAGTCAGAGGGCGGCGTGCGCGTTCCCGCTGGGCCCTGCGTGCGCGTCCCCGCCCGGCTGGGGCTGGTGGGCGGGGCGGAGCGGGGCGGGGCGCGGGAGGAGGGCGGCTGCCGCTGGAGCAGGCCCGGAGAAGAGAAAAGGCGGCGGCGCGGCTGCGGGGTGAGGCGCAGAGGAGGCGGGCCAGACGGGGGTGTGGGGCTCCAGGCAGCGCGA